AGCATTTGCTTCTTCATAGTTAGTGATTATTAAGGATCCTCAGGTCCTTTATAGTTTTGTATTGTCGTTCGTCCATCCGTCCGTCCGTGTGCGCTCTAACTCTTTTTAAAAGTGGCCGATTGTGTTGAAATTTGGCGTACGGGTACTTTGGACATTAAGGACGGACGCTATTGATTTTCAGGAAGCTGGTTTAACAGGAACAAAAGTTATAGGACTTCGAGTGAATCGGGAACAGAAAAAACTGCGGGCTCAATATAATAGAAATCAACATATTTCATTTCCTAGGTCATGTATCGAGTTCGGACTTTCGATAGATTATTGCCTATGAGTCTATGACTCTTAGATGTGTAACAATTGAATATATCTCTTCTTTGTGGTATAGGTCAAAAGTTTTAGAGCAAAATGTACCCAAAATTATTTTTTACACATGAATTTGGAGTTTTAAAAGCTTTCAAACGCATTATCTTGATGCTGAAAGCACGTGCAACTTTGATAACCGCATGTGTGTGATTCAAAGATGTTAAATTATTTTTCTGAGGCCACACGGATTTTGATCAAAATACGTCAAAATCATTATTTATGCACCAAGATCGTTGGGAAAAAGACCTAGGGGCATTATCTCAATGCCCAAGACATGAATTTGATGCATTTTTGTTCGTAGAGAATGCTTAACAAAAATTGTCACCTCATACCAATATTACGTAATTGAGTTTGTATTGAGTTATTTATACATGGTCAGGTAATACTATTAAAAGCTGCAATTAAAAATGTATTAGAAAATGATGTGTTAATGCCTTAATGGCGTAATCGACACAACTAAGTGCTATTTGTTAATTGATCTGTGAGCAATTTACGTCCATGTTTTCATTACCAAGAAAATTTAAACTGAGCAGTCACAATGGACGACACCAGCTTTTATTACACCTTGGATCCTTTACAGAGATTTTCCAAGTTCTTCGGTTTTCTCGTATGGACAATGTCAAAAGGATCTCCAAATCTAGGAGACAGGCGCATTGTGTGGTTTAGCTACACTTTCAAGCTTGTAATATTGATCGCCTGTTTAATCCATCAACGCTGCTGTCCACAAGAATGGGAAACCGTGGAACGAATAAATCACACTCTTATATTATACTGCGCTTATGTGAGCACTTTGCAATTTTTGTTTGTTTCTACACGCCATAACAAACGGTTCTCAACTATGATTGGGAATGTAGAAAAATTTGATTACGACATAGAGATGTTAACTGGAAGAAGTGCAGACTATAGTACGCCAAGAAAGCGACTAATTGCGACAATGACCGTGTTATACGCTCTCAATACAACTGGTCTTTTGATCGATATTGCAGTGGCATATATGCATAACTTGCTTGTAGACATCACAGTTACATGTTCGTATATAGTGTATGGTGCAGCACTCCTTAACACCTCAATAACGTGTTTCACGATATTTTTTCTTATGGAACTAACAAGAAGACTAGAAGTAGTCCATGGATATTTAAAAAATACTCGCCATATCTCAAAAAACTCGATTAAGATGGCTTTAGAAATTAATGGAGAACTTTGACAGATTGCCAAAGAGACAAATTTTATTTTCGAACATACACTACTGATAAAATTAGTCACAAACTTCAATTTTATACTGGACTCGATCTATTGGACTAGCTCGAAATCGTACAATGGGAAACCGATGCCAATAGGAGTATCCTGTGCGCTCTTCTATTGGATGGGCCTGAACTTGATTGAAATTTGCTTAATATTACGTTACTTTGTAATGTTCAGTAAAGAGGTAATTGGTGGGAAACATAATAATAGCTGTATTTAATTTCAATTTCTTTTAGGCCAAAAAGACCGTTCATATAATGGAAGATTTGAAACGCTATATTAACTTGGAATATTTGCAGGTATTTTCCACACTTCGTTTAAGGACTTCGCATCATTGTTTATTTTTAGGTAGAGTTGCTTTCCATTCAACTGTACGCCAATGAGTTCAAGTTTAGTATTTTTGGTTGTTTTCCATTGAATTGGAGTTTGTTGCATTCTGTAAGACGAAATCGATTTTTTTTCTGGATGAATGTAGCGACTTTTTGACAGATGGCTGCCGGCATTGCTACGTATTTAGTAATTTTTCATCAATTTCGGAACATGGAGGCAAAGAAATTAGAACCATGTCTCACTGAATAATTAAGACCTGTCGTCTGGCACTCGTAGTTATCTATGTGTTTCGATGGCTTCGTCAATGCAGTTCATGCGCGATGATATGGTCTAAACGCACGGACCGGCTATAAAATCCTGGTCTGTGTTACCATACTCAATCCAGCGCTGCCTTCAAAGGGATTGCGACACCCGACCCCCCATTGGCGGATCTTACGCAACAAAGGAGCGGCAGGGTATAATCACGGAAACCCAAATAGAAAGCACTGCCACTCTTCTACAAGAGGCTGAGACTACTCGTTTGGGTTACGGTCTAAACGGTTCACGGTCCTCCTCGACCGGCGTCTCAGCTGTGCCTATTTGTATATAATTTATATTACTCATTGTAATCTTATAGGTTTCATTGTTAATAAACACCTTTACTGTTAATTCTTCCGCACTACAGTAACAATTGGCACCCTCTACGTGTGGGCTATCGACGACAACGCGCTTTGACGTCACCTACGCCCAGACGGAAGAAGACCTACCACAAGTCCAGGAAACTCTCCGAGACATGGGGACCACAAAGACATTCTTCGTGATCGACCTCAAATCCGGCTACTGGCATGTGCGTTTGGCAGAAGAGTCGAGACCACCGACAGACTGTTCAACTCCCAATAGCGCCCCCTACCAGTTCAAGGTTCAAGCTTCGGGCAGCCCTAGAAAAATGCCATTTCGGAGTCATTTCATCCGACGGAAGCAAATGTCGACGCCACCGCAAAGAGTCAATCTGCACGGCAGAAAGACCTACCTCTCGGAAGCAACTTTGTAGCTTCTTAGGCCTCGCCAACTGGAGATCCAGGCACTATTGGACAACCTCCTGAAGCGCATCACCCCATTCCGGTGGACGAAAGATTTCGAATGGGCCTTCCAAGACTTCATACACGCCCTCACCGTGCCCCTGAGCCGGCCTAACTTCGAGCAAGCATTCACGCTACTGACCGACCCCAGCAGTAAGGGTATCGCCGGTGGCCTATATAATATATTATGAACCGACTCCTGGACAGAAAAACATCCCCAGATATGTTAGTGTGAAGCTGAACCCTTCATAAAGCCCGTTACCATGTCAACGAGCAAGAGTGCCTCGCCGTAGTCTAGACGGCCAAACGTGTCCGACCATACCTGGACGACCACACGCCGATCACTTCTATGGCTTGGCAAGACGAAGGACGAGTGGGGTAAATTTCCTCACTGGGCACTCGGACTGCAGGAATTCTCGTTTGACGTGGTAGACTGCTCGGGAAAAACGAACGAGGGGAGGGGCATGCGAAATCTGACCCGCCAGCCAGAGTGAAACAAAACGATAAAGCAAGAAAACAACGGGTAAGACAAGTTCACCGAAACCAACACCGCTACAGATCACACGACGCAAGCTATGGACCTACCAGAACCCAGTTCGAAACAGACGATCTCGCGATGGAACGGGTAAGAGACAACGTCACCGGTGACTTACCCCATTATAGAATATAGAGCACGCCGGGACGAGCGCCTATTGGATTAGAAGAAACGATGAATTACTGAAGGTACACACCCACGGCCACCGACCGGCACCCAATCCTCAACGCGGTCAACATCTAGTACCATAAGCTCAACCAGCGAGTACATCCGGCCACTGCAACCCCTATAAATGAAAGGGGGGGGGGGGACTACACTCGATCCAGGATTGTCAGGGTATAAATACGGAAACCCAAACGCCAGGAACAGACTCAAGTCATCCACTACCCTTCTACAAGCGGCTGAGACTGGTCGTTTAACTCTAGCCCATCACGTTCCGTGTTCAAGGTCCCCCTCGACCAGCGTATAACGATGCCAACGCCTACCTGTGTATATTTGTATACCGGATGGTGCACGGTAAGTAGGAACATAGGGATTTAACATGGGAATATTTATGCAATGCACCTTCACTGTTAGTTGTTCCGCACTACGGTAACAGCGTGGCTCCGCATAAATGTTCAACTCTCTCGTCTCTCGCACGGTGTCTTCATGGAGATGATGTCTCGCTCTATGCGTAATTTGTGTCTTCGGGATCCACACTAGTGGATGGATTGGCTTAAAAATGCACGGATCTTTCTGCGAAAACTACTTGCGCAGATTTACCCCGAGGACTGTGCCGCTTTTCCACTATTTGCACTCATATTTATAGGTCCTGTGTTTGCCCTTTCTTTCTCTTACTACTTTCTATACTACGGGAGTATAAACTCCCCTACATTTGTCAATCATTCATTCGGTATCGAATTACACTGCCCGCTTCATTTATCCCATCCTGAATATATCGTACAACACGTAATGTAGTACAAATATATCCATAGATGTTTAGTTTTGTTTATACGTTTGTTATCACGCTGACTCTTTCTCCTGTACGAATCACTTCTCGGGGTCGGTTGACCATCTGGACGGGCGCAACTTTCACTTGCCACTTTTTCATTCGGAATTGCGTACGTGGACGGTTACCACTTTGGCGTTTGGTCAGTGTTCTTTCTTTTTGTTGCTTTCCGTGGTTACCTTTTTATTATATTATGGGACAAGGAGACTTGCTGCTACGTGATCATGCAGCTTGACTTCTGTGGCTGGACCGGTCTGCATCACTCCTTCTGCAGGGTAGTTGGTGGCGTCTGTATTTGGCCGTGAGGCGACTTAGAGGTCCACCGGGTTATTACTAACTCCTGCAGTTCAGGCTATAAAAAGCCGCTGAGAGGGAGCGACGTTTTTATTAATTTTTTGTGTAATGATTGTAACAAGCAGTATTTATCTCTGACATCAGCGAAAGTAACGTCAGTATATTATCTTTCCATTTATTGAAACAAAAATCCTCGTTTGATTCCCCCTCCCCATTAGAAATAGTTTACTGAATCCTAAAATAAGTAAAAGTAAGCGTAAAAATTAGGTTCTATGTTTTTCCATATGGCTAAACTGATGAAATATGATCCAATATGTTGTGATTCCTGATGCCATCTACAAATCCTTAATAGGAAAAGGTAGGTTCAATCGGTTACTTACGGAACGTAGCAAAGTCCAGTCCAATGGAAAGCAGCCAAAGATGTCGAATTTAAAATCGTTGACGTAGACTTGAAGAGAAAAAAGTTGTACCTGAAATGTTATACGCTTGACTAATTAATTCAAGAATCATTTGCTACCTGCAGATGTTGCACATACAATTTATCCATAAACCCTTCCAAGTGCTCCATTATTTCAACGGTCTTTTTAGCCTAGAAGCAAAACAATGTTGAGTACTTTTGGCTAAATTAAATCAAAAGGAAACATTATTGACTGTCAGAGTCCAGTTAACATAGTGACCGCATCGCTCAGTGGCCCAATATGGTCAGGTAGCATAGTCTAAACCTGACCTAGCGACTTGGTTTATTATTTTATTTAGGAGGCAAACTCGGTTTATTGTAGCGCATATTCCAGAAGCGACCGCACGGCGCCATCAAGTCGATAAAGGATAAGTCACTTGCGATAAGGGTTAGCTGTTTGAATGATTTAAAAAAAGTGAATGCTTCGTAGCTACAAGTCGAACTGACGGCAATTGAGTTGGAGTCTTACCTCACTCTTAATTCGTGTGAAGCGACGTAGAAGTATAATCAATTCCCCCAACAGCATTACCAGCCACAAAACTGGAAATATGGCGAACGACACTCGGCTCCACATCTCCGCAACTAGGAACACGTCCAAAACGCGTGGAAACGCCAAGAGGCTGATGACAACGAAAACGACTAACTTGAACAACAGTTCGCTTTCAACCATAAATGCCATGTCGTGCTGAATTTGTTGTAAAGATCGGTACGTTTCCTTGATATTTTCGATTGTACGTATGACACGTAGGTTTCTTCCACGGATACGTTTCAACTTGTCGTTTAGTAGACGAAATCTCTTCTCAATCTCTCGAAGTACCGCGTACAATAAAATGAAGCGATTATTGCTAAGAATCGAACAACAATACTGAATAATGACGCTACTTATAGTTACGTTAGCATTAAATTGTAGAACGAAATATAAATTCAGAATTGTGGTCGCATACCTGCAGATGAAGGTAGTGTTAACATGCAATTTCGTTTTCTTATACTTCAGTGTAGTACCCGTTAGCACCTTGAAAACCTTGTCCAGGTTTGACAACCTATTCAGGCTTGTCGTTAAACATCTCGTGCGAAACCTCGCGACATAGAGCCTAGCAATGCTGGCTGTGATTAAAAGAAGGTGACCTATAAGCTCTGTGACACTTTCCGTAGTCGAAAGGTCGTAATGGGAAACATAAATGTTGCCAGCGAAGCAGGCCGTGACTACACATATAATAAATGCTCCAATAATATCGTTTACACGCCTATCCTTCCGGAGGGAGACGTAGCGGCGACTGAAACCCTTCTTCTCGACGCTGTAGGGCTCTAGTGCCGTTATTTTGGAAAACACATGTATTGAATGGAGCGCGTCAAATAAATCCATCGGTATTCTCCCACAGACGATCGATATCAACCGTCGTTGTTGACACGCAGAAATAATGGAGTAGGTGGTACTGTGAGTGACATGTCGGTATTTACGTTTGCTTGTCAATACTCTTTCACTAATGAGAAGTATAAATTATTGTAAAAGCATTTACGAAAATAGAACGTGAATCCAGTTTTGCACGCTTCAATACTCATTGATTTACTGACGAGGATTTTTTGGATCTCAAATAGATATCAATGGTTGACTTTTCCTTTTTGGATTAGTATGCCTATTCATCAACAACCTCCCCTCTATCTATACCTACGTCGTAGGTCGTGTACTTTCACCTTTGATTGTTGGATTACAACCGAAATGATAAGATGATTCTTTTGGACATTTGTGTCTCATTCTTGATTCTAATTCTTTCGAAGACTGTTCGTTTATTAATTCATTTGTTACTAGTTCGTTTGTTATTCAACCAGTCCGTTTGGATGGAGTATTATTTCATCCCCTTACACGAGCAGGTAGGCTACAACCGACTCACGTAATGCCGATCGGGGACCCTTGTGACCTTGAGTTCTGTGCATGCGCCAATCCCAAAGCTGAACTACTACGCATTTACCATGCGCCAAGCTCAAGGTCATTCAATTTAGTTCTGTTTGTCGGTGGAAACAGGTTTCTTTCTCAGAAACAGGGTAATTAAATAGAAACGGGTGTCTTCGTTAATATCAGGTCTATTCCATAGAAACAGCTTTGTTCAGTAGTAATAGATCCGTTGAACAGAATCAGGTTTACTTAACCGACCTGTTTTTGATAAACAGACCTGTTTGACCTGTTTCCGTCAACAAACAGGACTGAATCGAGTGACCTTGAACTTGGTGGGTGCGCAGTAGTTCAACCTTGGAATTGGCATTTATGTGCAGAAGTGAAGGAGTTGCCCCACATCGACCTTGCTTACCTACTTAGAATATATCTGTCAAATCAAAACTAATAATACCGATAATAATAGCTTGGGATTCCACCACCTTGCTTAATTGAGGTCGCTCGAGGCAGGAGATTTAGTTGACCCAAATTGCTGAAGTTGCTGGCCGGTACCTACAACATATTGCACAACCCTAAGGGGAAATAATTTTGAATTTTTGGTGTACACCCTTCTGAATTAATTTGAATTAACGTGAATTAATGTGAATTAATTTAAATTAACGTGAATTAATTTGAATTAACATGAATTAATTTGAATTAACGTGAATTAATTTGAATTAACGTAAATTAATTTGAATTTGAATTTTTCGTGTACACCAAAAATGGTACTTGTTTCCCCCTAGGTACAACCAGTGTCTTTATGTCAGTAGGATTACTATAGTGGAAACTTTGTAAAAACATTTGTGAACATATTCACACTAGTGTAACAGGAGAAGTTATATATCTACCTCTCCTCCCTCACCCTTCCATCTTCCCCCTTATTTTTTTGAAGGAAAATCTTGAAATCTGAATTTAAACTTCAACCTGTTTTGCAATGGATTGAGGATAATTATGTTGGACGACCCAATCGAATAGGAAACGGCAGAAGAGCACCCATTTTTCCTCCAGATATGTGGTCATTGTTGAGAGAGTATATGAGAGAGATTAGTTTTAGATTTTCAAAATCGTAATATTATTGAACACTTGACAGGCACACGCTTGCACTCGCTGGGATTTACTATACCTAAATTTTTTAACTTCTAAGACGTCTGCCACTATTAAAGCTACACTTAATATCGTCTGCCAGGATATATTTTAAAGTAGTGACAAAAAGAGGAATTTTTTATGTATAATTTTTATACGGTCCTCATGATTTAGTTCGGGGGTGTTTTTCCCTACATTGAAGGGCGTCTTTCGCTACCAACGCTGCACTTGAAATCGTCTGCCATAGCGTATTTGAAAACTATGGAAAAAATGGGATTTCTTGATACAAATCTTTTCCGTAACCCTTATAGTTTGGTAATTTAGTTGATCACCTACAGAAATCACCTATTCAGCGCCGCCCCAAGTTAATGCTGCCACTTACGACTGGCAGACGAGTGATTTTATTATTACTTTTCAACGTACTTTCAGCCTGTATTGTCGAATATTTTGTCGCTTATGGTTTAGTTACTATGTACGCTGCCTCCCGGTCTATTAGAGCTTAAGAGAAACATTTTATTCAATGTGGTATCAGGTTGCCATGGAAGATACAATGATAGTCTGATTTAATCAAAAACATGCAACTTAGAAAAATGTCCGCTGTAGATTTTGCGTTTTTTGTAATTTTCTCAGCTGCTAAAAGGAATATCTAAATTTTTATTTCAGAATAGGTGGTTTTGAGGCAAGCAAAAATTTTTATAAAGAATGACATTTTTGCGTAGTTAAAATTAAAAATTTCTTCCCTCTTGTTCAGTCCATCCGGGGCCACACTGTATTTAGGGCCGAATGCACAAAAGTTAATCAAAGCTTAACGGAGCTGTTAATTCATTTGTTTCTATAAGTTCATTCTTTTTGGCACCTTAGCCAAACGAAATCTTGACAATTAATGTCCGCATGCGCAAACTGCGCACTTTCATATTTATGGTGATATATTTTTTAAAATTTTAACCGCGTGCGTAGACTACTCATGAATTTTCTTACATATACTTAGAAAAAAATTTGAAATTTTAACTACAGATTCTCTTATTAAAGGCCTTTCGGGAAGTACTGATCCGCTCATGGGAAATGCACTAAAGCTAAATGCTACTAGCCTTAGGGCGATAATCTTTTTTCGTATTTACTTCGCAACAAAATTATTGATGAAATCACAAGGCCCCTTATCAAAGATAATATTCGATAACACTTCACTTTGATCATATACTTATTGTAAACGCCACCTTAATGTGCCAGTAGTAGTCACGCCAGTATTTTATGTAACGTTTACTCTTTAAGTTCGGATAAGATTGATTGTAAGGCTCTCCAATGTTTGCGTGCTATTTGTGAAGTACCTACAGCTTCTTGCTTTTCAATATAACAGAATAGGTAAGATGAGTCACACTTATTCTATGTTACCATTGTACGGGGTTATTACTTATAGGTAAATGATTCATCAGGTTTCAAATTGTTATATTTGCTAAAATTGATATTGTACCTACTTACAATAATCATTGATACGCCCCAAATTACAAATGTTCGATGTGTGCCCCATTTCTCACACCACACACATTTTGTAACATGTCCACTGATGCGTCTCTTAACGTCCTTGGCAGTGGAGTACATAAACAGTCTCTGAAAGGTGTAATCACACAGGGTCTTTAGTTATAGTATAAAGACCCTGGGAATCGCATGGCGGTAGATCGAGAAATCGGGAGACCATGCGAACACATCTGAGTCATTTGCACGGATACGCCCGATCCAGTGATGTGGAAGTGGGGGCATGTTCATACGTATATGTAACCCCACATCCAAAAACGCTTGACAAACTTAGGAAACGCATCAGTGCTGCTTTGGCAACAATACACGTGGAAATGTTACCAAATGTGTGGCCTGAGCTATAGATTACCGTTTGCAGGGCCGGTTAAACCACAAGGCGAACATAGGCGGCTGCCTGGGGCGCCAAGCTTCAGAAGGCGCCAAAATTAAGCAACATCTTTCATCGAAAGCGCGTCGGCGGCTCCAAAAAGCTTCCCGGTACTTTTTAATGACGCTTCCAGTGTCGGTGGCGAGCGGAGAACGCAGTTTCTCCAAGCTAAAGCTGATAAAGACATTTTTGCGGTCAACAGTGTCTCAGAATAGCCTCGTGGACTTGGCAATGATCTCTATTAAATCGAAGGAGGCATGGAATGTAAATTTAGAACAGATAGTCCAGCAGTTCGCGAGAAATAAGGCAAGGAAGATGAATTTTTGATTTTTTATGTGTATATCCCTTCCCTAATATCTTTGGATATGCGTTTTTGTATACCTACACCGCCTACACGTTATGTCGTTATGTTATTATGTATTTGAAGAAAACACAATAAAGTATTTATGAACGCCACTTTCTATTTTTTGCCTGGTACTGGTACCTAGGAATAACCTCCGGAAGGGCGCGCTGAGAACATCTCGCCTAGGGCGCCAAATAGCCTTTCACCGACCCTGCCGTTTAGACGTGTGTAGTGTGGCAAATAGGGCACATATCGAACATTTGTAATTTGGGAAGTACCCAAGGATGCTATATAATACATAGCATCCTTGGGAAGTACCTAAACTTGGAGAGTTTCTGCTTTGCTTCCCTTGAGGTATCAATTGTTAGGGTACGGAAGGAGCTCTGTAGTAGAAAGAGTACCTAATATAGTGTAGTATAACGTAATGCATACAGTTACCGCAGTAGTACGCTCAACTGCCGATGAGCGATGATCGCGTGCCCATCTTGCTCCAACCGACCCCACGCTCACTCGGTACACAATGATTATTGACAGTGCAATAATTTAATAAATATACCTAACATTTTAAAACTCGATGAATCATTTATAATAACCCTGTATATGAGGCTACTCTATTTTTGTAATCAGCTATTTATTGTAAAATTATGTTGGTCACGAGTACATTCAGATATACAATGCGATCAAAAATGAGTTGCTGTCGAGTTACTTTTGGAATTTTTGTTTACATGGGAAATCGAACATAATTTGAACTTCCAAAGGCGTCTCGACAGCAACTCATTTTTGAACGCCCGTTACATATTACATATTAATACGTACCACGATATACAGTGAGTTTTTTTTAAATGCGAACATAGGAGTTTGCATGAAATGTAATTTCCCTATGTTCGATTTAAAAAAAACACATCATTCTATGAGGTGTGCGCGGTTCACATTCCCAAATGTGTGACTATGAAAAGCAACTCTATAGTCTTTATGATGAAGAGCAATCGGTAAGATTTTTTTAAAGAAGCCATGTGAGGCCATAGCAACTTTAGGATACATTTTTCTTAATTAATTATTTTTCTAATTTCTTATTGTCAACCAACATTCAATTATTTGTAGGTCATATCTCGGGTCATATGCACCTGGTATTCTACTAATTTTATCTATTCAATACATAAATGAAGAAAATAAGAAAATAAATACCGAAAACAATTACCATAAATGTTCGAAGTGTCCTCCTTGACATTCTAAGCAATAACCTAACCGATTTCGTAATTAAATTGGACGGCGGTATTTTTAAAAATGTGACAGCTGTCAATTGTATCTACTACTCATTTGAACTTTTCAATAGATTGATATGTTTTTTTTTTAAATCGAACATAGGGAAATAACATTGCATGCAAACTCCTATGTATGTTCGCATTTAAAAAAAATTCTTTGTACGTACGTTATAATAGGGAACCAATTCAACCAATAGCGCTACACTCTCCTGTTTTTAGCGTAACACAACGAAGTTGAGGTAAAGCGTATGTGCTCGTGTTTCCGTCTGTCCGTCCGTCCGTTCCATCGAGATCTCGGCCCCTGGGCCACCTAGAGACTTCGGGTTTTCGGTAATTGATAGCTGTTATGGTCTATATTTGCCCATTTCGATCAGTTTCATCTAACTCCATATTTTTCGCGCAGACTGCACAATGCCAACTTTCTTATTTATGGAGATATTTCTTTGAAATTTTAACCACAGATGCTTCTAGTAAAGGCAAACATTTCGCACATGGTAAAAATTATGTGGGCATGCGCAGTGAGTGCACAGACTGCTCATAGCCAACTTTCTTATGTATGGTAAATATTTCTTTGAAAAATTGAAACTTTATTTTACTTATTTAACTCCTCTCTTTCTCTGGACGTGGACGTGCTTCAATATGCAGATTCAACATTTTGTGTGCTTTCGATGCATCGTTTCAATACTTTGGGTTACGCGGCAATACCCACGAGTGGGTTTTGGAACATTTTTTTTAATATATTGGTTTTTGTTCCAGAAAAACATTCCTTTAATTAAAATATTTTTCTGTTTTATTTTGTGCGTTAAAGAAATATAATGGGATTAATAGGTAAGATATTTAAAAAAAAATTAAGCAATAGCAATAAAAAACAACCATTGTTTGCCAAAATTATGAAAATTACAAACGCGGTACCCAATAAATTTTTGAATGTGGTATATTTTTACACGGTCATAATTTTTGTTCACGGAGGGATGGTGTCCCGGAATTCAACGCTGTAAATATGGCAACCCTACTTGGGAAAAATCACTATCTGGAAGAAACTGGCCCCATATTGGAATATTTGAATTTTTAACATAGCGACTGAACCGAGAGTTCTATTTTTTTTTGCTCCAAATTATTTATACACTCTATTATGCTTGACAACATTAAGCGGTTAGGTTAGACTCTCGGTTTATTTAAAAAAGTGCTTGTTTTGATACCCACCGTCTATCACCCAATTTTTAGCGCATTTTTTAAGAATTAAAAAAAATGTGCTATTGTTTGCGCTTTGTTCGTCCGGACCCACTTCTGCCGTTTTGAACTACTTCTAGGGGAATGGTCCTAGAGTCCTTGAATTTGTTGCAGTAGGTAGCCTATACCTTGAAGGGGTGCCAGACGGCCATCAAATTTCGCTGTCTAACAGGGGGGCCCTCCCACCAATTATTTCCTGAGATGCTGTTTTTGAAAGTAAAACGTGCATAACTTTTACATGCGACAACCAATTGGTCTCAGATTTTGCATACGCATTACGCATACCTTTAGTGGTGCCAAGTTAAACTTTAGAAAATGGGTGGGGGGAAACCACATGTTCTACCCTTCATGGTATTCACATGAAAGGTCTCATCGAAATAAATTGGTTTGTACCTACAAACTATATAACTTTCCCGTGTGGCTCTCTTTCGAGATCAGTGAGCGACGGGGAAGTAAACGTTTGGAAGAAATATAACCATTGGGCATTTAAATAAAATTTGATACATAGCCACTTGCAATAAAACCAAATCTAACGCCAGTTTCAAAATTTTGTTTTGCGCATACGCAGTGCCAACTTTTTTATTTATGGAGGGATTAAAAAAAATTTGATACATATTTAACACCAGTTTCAAAATTTGGTTTTGCGCACACGCAGTACCAACTTTCTTATTTATGGAGGCATTTAAATAAAACTTGATACATAGCCAGTTGGAATACAACGAGGCCTACTATAGTAGGCCTCGAATACAACCAAATTTAACGCCCGTTTCAAAATTTTGTTTTGCGCATGCGCAGTGCCAACTTTCTTGTTCTTCCAACTTTAAATGTCCGCAGAACGCTGCACCAAAAGCGCCAAAAGTTCCAAATCGCATATAAGATGCAAACTGCGAAATGTCATTTTTCTTATTTATTGAGATATTTTTAATTTGGAACCACTGATTCTGATAATAAAGACAATCATATCGCATATTGTAAATAATCATATCTGCGCATGCGCAGACTGCACAATGGTAAGTTTCATATTTGTAAGAACTTATTTACTTTTGTACACAGATAGTTAAATAACCTTTGGGGAAGTACTTATCAATGACACACATTCAATCAAGTGAAAGAAAATAGTAATTTTGTACTTTTAAACACAAATCCCGACGTCAAACAGTTCGCATTGACAACCGAGGTGATTAGCCATCAGCTTTTATTATATGGTGGTCAAAGTAGGTCCTTTAATCCCGATCGCTTAAAGAACTCAAGAACGTTATATACTTCCTTTTCTATCAGATCCCCATCCCTCATATCCTTTCCCACAAGGAAAGTCTGCCTTTATTATAGAAACAGTAGGCACTCTCTAAGAGTATTTTAGCGACATAGACTGAGTGGTTAAGTTTGTGCGTTTTTAGTTGGTGCATGCACACACTTCAAGGTCACATCGATGACGATAAATCCAGCATGTTGCCTGTAATTTGCAATTATTTCGCTAATCTTGGAAAGTAGGTAGGTCGCAAGCTATCGATCAAAGGCCATTCCACACCGTTCAAAATCTAGATTCCCGACCGGTCAAAGTCCATTCCCCGCTGTTCAAAGTCCAAAGGTTGCCGACCGTCAAAGTTCACCTAGTAATGTAGAAGCAGTATTATAATTTTTAAACTATCAGTCGTATGCGTAGCTCCATCTTATGATATTGGAACACATCAAATGTCAGTGACATCGGTTTATGTTAATAAGATTGGTAAATGCGAGGGTAAATGGTCCATGGAACCGTCGTCCTTTAAAATCACTATACTCATAATACCAACACAACATAAATCTGGATGGCTAAAATTGATTCTTTGTTTCAGATCTACGTCAGGTCAGTATAGAATGAATTGCTGCTCCGGTGGAAAAGGCGCGGGTGGTGGACGTTTCATAACCCGAGCCTTACGGATTTTCCTTTTGTGGGGCTTAGTCATCTTTGCCATCATACAACTGAAGAGTATACTAAAGGTACACGTACAGTACCTAAACAGTAGTCTACAACTGCAGGAAAGTTTGGATCATGCAGATTCGACTATCGAAGCGATCGACGAAGAGCCTTTCATCGACAAAAGATCGAGATTATCCGAAGATATGCTTGTTGACGACATACAAAAGCGAATAGATAACTTCCCCATCGCCTACTGGAACAAGAACAAGAGTAAACCCATCGGCTTCAATAAAACGTGCGCGCGTTTCCCTAGCATGTTTGATCTAGAGTTTAACAACATATACTGGCAAACGCTGAGGACTACGAACGGCACCTTTCAGTTATTTGGCGCCTACCTCGACGCCAGACCCAATAATCGTCTGGGACCCACCGTACGAATCTTAGGCATGATCGATCGGATACAGCCTACTGTGCCGACGTACTGCCAGTTTTGGTTCGACGGCACAAAGGAACCGGTAATTGTGAAAAGCTTAGAATACAAGTACATTTGGAACAAGGGATGGGGCAACTACCAGCAGGGAATATACCAACCCTACCTAATAGCGTGTGTAATTCCCAACCAATGTCAAAAGGCAGTACCTGAATCGGTTTCGCTTGTCGAAAAGTCCTGCGATAATGCTTCCAATAATCTAAGAGTTATTTATAATAAGCCTAAGGCGAAGAAAGATTTCGCAGTTTGCGTTAAGGGGTTAGATTTTCTATACGAGGACTTGTCTGTCAGGCTCGTCGAGTGGATTGAGCTGCTCAATCTACTAGGCGCAGATAAGATCTTCTTCTACGAGCTGCAAGTGCATCCAAACATAAGTAAGGTGCTGAAGTACTACGAGAAAGAGGGGAAGGTAAAGGTCACACCGATAAACCTGGCGGGTGGGCAGCCGAACGGCCCTTCATTTCAGCACCTTTACTTGACGAAGAAAATCATTCATAAAAGACAGAATGAGGTGATCCCATACAACGATTGCTTCTACAAACACATGTACGAATACAAATACATAACTCTGCTCGACATTGACGAGGTGATCATGCCTATAGATGGCACAACGTGGAAGGAGCTGATGGAGCGTGTGCTGCCCAAGGCCTTAAAAATAAACAAAGAGGAGAGGGCTTCCTATAACGTCCGCAACGTATATTTCCTAGACGATATGCAGCATAATCACGGCTGGTTTAAAGAAGTTCCTCGGTATATGCACATGCTGCAGCACGTATACCGGGCGAAGAATTTCACAAAACCAGGCGCGTACGTTAAGTGCTTCCATAATACGGAAAAAGTTCTCATTTTACACAACCATTTTCCTTTCGCCTGTCTGGGAAGTGGTTGTACTACCTACCCGATTAACACGGCTGACGCCCAACTTCAGCACTATCGCGCCGACTGCGTCGACGATTTGAAGCAGAAGTGCGAGGGTTTTAAAAATAACAGCGTAATGGATGTAACGATATGGAAGTTTAAACAGCCATTAATTGCGAGAGTGTCGACGGCCCTTAGGACTTTAGGCTATTTTACCTCGGGTAAAAAATTGGAAGATCGCAGATGATAAATTAACTGCACTCTATTTCTACTTGGGTGATATGTGCTAATTGTCGCGATTCTTTTTAAGAACCGTTCCTGTGTTATATTATTTTTAATCGTATTTAATTTTCTTAATTATGTTACAATGATAGGTGCGAAAGGTGCTTGGGGGAGACGGGTCCATTCCGTTTTTCCATCTGTTGCCCTATTGCGAAGTCCCTTTTTAGCGCATTTCCACAAAAATAAAAAAAATGCCCTATTGTCCGTCGCTCGTTTTGAGACGCTACTAGTTCTTTATTTTAAGAGCTATTGTTCTACTTTTTTCGCTATTTGGTTCGTTATGGTGTCGAGGCTTGCACCAAGGAAGGAATTTTTTCTGTACCGCTTACAAAAATAGTATATTAAGATACAAGTGTATAATCAAGTCTTTAAAGCACGCGCAACGAGTTTAAGGGCACGACGCAAAGCGGAGTGCCTTTAACGTTGCAAGTGCTTTAAAGACCAATTATACACGTGTATCTTATAGTATTTTTTATTATACCTGCAGTATAATTTAAAAATAGGAAATTCAATGAAATCATATTGACGTTATACTCGAATACATGTCTAATTAAGTGGGCTGAGTGTTTGTAATTTCACGATTGCCATGGAAATGTCACTTGACGTTTGCTTATAAAAATCATCGTCTTTGTGAATTAAACGATTTCCGTTGAAAAAGATAATACACCGTCCATTAAATCGATTGTTGTGAAATCTAAACAAACGTTGGTAGGTGTAAAATCCAAATCCAGTAAAGCCTATTATAAAGAATATGAAAAGTTGTTTCCATGGATGGAATAGGAAGTTACTTACGAATAAGTCTTAAATGCATCCATAATGCTGGCATATATGAAGGAAATGTCAAAGGTATTTAAATCTTCTATATTTTGGTGCATTCATTCAAAACTTTAAAGCAATGCTGCGGTTAAAAAGTGGAACAGATTTGGAAGCATACCCTAAATTACGCGCGTTTGTGAAAGCTTCAACCAAAGGATAGGTACACAAGCCAAAGCAATGATCTGCATTTACAGAAAGCGACACCTAAGAGGATTTTTTATTTCATCCAGATGACAGTGTCAAAAGTCATACTTGAAGTATTGTTACTTAGCAACTTTAAAGCACGTGTGTTTTAAAGGCCCTTTTTCGCACGCATTTGAGTGTTTAAAACGGAGATTGTGATTCAGGTAAGTATAATAAAATAGTATATTGAAAGACAAGTGTTACAATGCGACCTATTGTAATACGACTATCTTGTGGCACGAGTGGCGACGCGAAGCGTAGCCACGAGTGTCCGCAAGATAGGAGTATTACAATAAAGCATTGTAACACGCGTTTTTCATACTATTTTTTCTATTTCGGTGCTTTAATTTAATTAAAAAAATCATTATCAGAAACTATAGGGAACATTAGAACTAACATGTTTTATGTTGGGAACACTTTTTATGCTGTTAAGTTTTAGGTTGGCAGCGTAGTAAGACTGACATTTTGAAGTTCAAACATGGAAGTACCCAACGAAGTACCTACTTGTACTAACTAGTAACTGCCAACTTAAGAAATGAGTTACCAAAAAAAACGACTATAATCACTGTCTTTGTACAACTGTTTTCGGCCGAAAACAGTTGTACAAAATCATCATTGTGACACCGAAATAGAAAAAAGTTATTGTAAAAAAAACAAAAAACCGTTTTATACATGTTCCATAATTTTACACTTTTGCCGTTTATTAACGATCCTAAATATCGTTTATAATTTTGTATTGCTGTCTGTGGTCTGTCCGCCTGTTCCTTTGTCTGTCTGTCCCTGTATCTGTCCGTGTGAACGATAACTTTGTTTAGAAATGTCCGATCGCTTTTTCATCTCCGTTAGTTATTAACTGAATTGCATGAAATTCAATATGGGCCATATAATACGCAATGCCAAAAGTTGAGTCGAATCGATTCAAAATTCACAGTGCCCTTTTCGCATCTCGATATAAACCGAATTGCAAACTTTTTTACTTATAAAAGTATTTGAATGAAATTTGATACATAGGCACTTGGAATAAAGGAAAATCAAACGCCAGTTTCAAAATTTGGTTTTGCGCATGCGCAGTGCCAACTTATTTATTTATGGAAGAATTTAAATGAAAACTTGGAATAAAGGAAAATCAAACACCAGTTTTAAAATTTAGGTTTGCGCATGCGCAGTTCCAACTTTCTTATTTAGAAAAGCATTGAAATGAAATTCTTCTTATAAACTGAAATTGAAGTAGCACGTCAAAAATCGATTGCCCATGTGCTACGCTATCTTTCATATTTGTGGCCGGATTTTTACGATTTTAACAGAAGTTGCATCTTACAAATGGGAAATGAATGCAAGTAGAAATGCGCTTTATGTAAATCGTTTACGATTACTTTTTAACTTGTTACCAATTGTTAAATAATATGAGATTCCTAGACGTGTGTTCCAAATTACCTTTATCACTAAAGAGAACACTATTAAAGGTAAAAAATGTATGGCGTTACATTTGCTCACTGTGTCGCCGAAAAATAGATTTTTAACGTAGTATTAACATTTTTCCTTAAGATACTGTTATTTTTTCTTGCTTTATTTGGTTCCACCACCTATAATAATGACGGGTTACCGTGTATGAGTGAATTTCAATTTTTCTTTAAGCGTAAAATGTGGTTATTAATTTGCGATAGAACACAATTTCGATCATGGTATTTGAATTTCAGTCCATGTGATTTTGCTTAAGAATTATTATATTAATAATTTGTTTAAATAATCGCGAAGAATTTTGTTTTTATTTTATTGTTCATTTAGAAAGATTAAGGACATTTGGAATTAATTTTTTGATAAAGTTATCTCATTTAAATCCGGTTGTTGCGATAAAAAATCTTTATCGCTGCGTAAGCTTATTAGTTTGAAGATAATAAGCAGGTTTCGTAGATAAGAAAACACAGGTGTTTAATTTCGAAGACGCAAATTAAATGGGAGAAGAAGCGGAAACTCAGAGAAAGAAACATTTTTAGCGCATTTTTGCAAATTTATTTGTAAAAAGTGGCTTTTAATCTCACTTTGGCTGGCTGGCTGGCTGGCTGGCTGGCTGGCTGGCTGGCAGCAAATGTGGGGGCGCGTAGAAGAACTCTTGTAGAAAGGCAACGGGTGTACGTGTATCTACAGGGCCGTGAAATTTGTCAACCTTAGGGACATGGCTACATGATGTGGGGTTGGCGACATCTGGGCGTCATCCTCGAGCGTAGTATACTAACGTGAAGGTTTTTCAGTTTTTTCCTATCTTCTACTACAGTTTTGGTCCGATTCTTTTGAAATTGGTGTCGTCGGAAAGATGTTGTAAACGCGCACAACTCCTGCGTGGCGGAATTTTGTTTTTTGTCATAGGGGCGAAATTAACGACCTTTTGCGAGGCGGCGCGCGCGTCTTCGAGAAGTAGTCAGGCGCCTTTTACCTTCCGTTGCGAACTCACGCGGTTTAACGTTTCGTCTTTCGTGAATCTCGAATTGCTGTCTCTCTTTCTCGTGTCGCCAATAGAAGTGAATTGCGAGTGAACGGGACGTCGGAAGTGGGTACCGTAAAAGGGAATGTGGTAGCCCGCGACACGATCTCACTGATGGTGGAGTCAAATCTTCAATCGCGAATTGCGGGTGAACGGGACGTCGGAAGGGGGTACCGTCAAAGGAAATGTGGTAGCCCCCGACACGATCTTCCTGATGGTGGAGTCAAATCTTCAAACGCGAATTGCGGGTGACCGGGACGTCGGAAGTGGGTACCGTAAAAGGGAATGTGGTAGCCCGCGACACGATCTCACTGATGGTGGAGTCAAATCTTCAATCGCGAATTGCGGGTGAACGGAACGTCGGAAGTGGGTACCGTCAAAGGGAATGTGGTAGCCCCCGACACGATCTTGCTGATGGTGGAGTCAAATCTTCAAACGCGAATTGCGGGTGAACGGGACGTCGGAAGTGGGTACCGTAAAAGGGAATGTGGTAGCCCGCGACACGATCTCACTGAAGGTGGAGTCAAATCTTCAATCGCGAATTGCGGGTGAACGGGACGTCGGAAGGGGGTACCGTCAAAGGAAATGTGGTAGCCCCCGAAACGATCTTCCTGATGGTGGAGTCAAATCTTCAAACGCGAATTGCGGGTGAACGGGACGTCGGAAGTGGGGACCGTAAAAGGGAATGTAGTAGCCTTCGACAAGATCTGTTATTGATGGTTGAGTCGAAAGTGGCTAATAGAATACTGATCTGCCACACAAAAATGCGCTGAAGTCCCTTCGATCTCAATCGAGGACTTTGATAATTTTTTAATACATCGTTGAAAATTATTGTTTAAGTCGAGTTCAATGGAAGCATGTATTACGGTTTTTTTTAAATAATGGCCCTAACGGGATCAAGTCCTCTCCCTCTCATATGTTATTGACTACCTACCAACTCGGCAACCACTTCTGATTATAAGTATCCGCCACCATGCATCGGTCCGAGTTCCAGCGATGACCTTCATCGACCTGCAGAAATAAAGTCAACCCGGCAACGTTTAAAAATGGTCACCCAAATGAAGATTCCCTCCAAAACTACACAAGATTTCACTTAAATTTGAAAAGTGGCACGTGATAAAACATCTAAGGCAGGGAACCCTTACGTTAGTTGTAAACAACACTATGACCTGAAGCACAGTAGGGAAGGAACGTTAAATAAAACACTGAAATTGTGAAAAGCTTGTTTAATAATGATCGTAATTATTATGATTGAAAAAGCTCCGAAATTTAAGTCCAAAATAAATTACATTGCAAAAATAAACTTTGAAAATGGTAGTTCATCGAATAAAAATAGAAATAGGTTGGGAAAAAACGAACTTACCAATAAAAAAACCAGCCGTCAAATTAATATCAAATTGTGTTGTAAAATTAATTGTTTGTAATGATGTGAATGTGTAACATAAAATTATAACATCGCAAAAAGTAGCAGGTAAACTTCAAGAGGTAACATATAGGTTAAAAATAAGTTTCGGGAATTATGGGTCAGGTAAGCAGATACCAAGATTCTAAGAAGGGGTGAAATACACAGGGTGTGACTCATCTTTGGTGCAATAAAGTCCTTTTGTTAAAAGCAAGATGGAAAATTACATGGCCTTGTAGGCAAATTTAACTAAAAACAAGATATGTGGAAATTATTGAATCGCCACTCATTTATCGCACATAGATTCTAAACTGAAGAGCTTTGATTAGCGTAATCTCGCCTCCACAAGATAGGTAGCGTCGCCCCTCGTTCGGAGTTTAGAGCCTACAGTTGGATGTCGAAGACAATTACGGAATTAGGTGTCGTAGCTCAATTGTGACTACAGTTTTTTCCACTCCCGTGACTGCTTCATTCACGGAGAAAATTGTTAGAATAAACAACAAGTCAGTACATACATCAAACGAATCAATAATTTCCACATATTAAAATAAAATGATCAAAACTTGTATGAGCGTAACTTCTGGGACAAGACCAAGCAATCGGCATCGAAAAACATAAATTAAGCAAGCATTACACCAAAAACGTAAACAATTACAAACAGTACCATAACGGTATCATACATATGATTCTGCATTGCGGTTAAACCAATTAAATTTCAAAAACAAAGATTCAAACACACAAAAAATATAAAATGCGGCATACAAAACACAAATACGATATAAAGAAATGCAAAAATTACTGCTTGCATTAAATAACACAAAATAACAACAAACATTTATGGAGCGACGCGTTCATGACCGCTATTCCAGACAAGATGCTAAACGTTCGTGCTTTCTAGATGGCGCAGGCAGCGTTTTCCCATTAAAGTATACTCTGGCCATATAGTGCATGGGCTGCTATTAGCCCTATGCTTTCAATACGCGGTCACGGATAAAGGGCACTATAGCGTGGGTATGTGTACAGTGACTTTATAGAGACAGTGGCGACAATAGAGTGTTTAATTTTTGATTGGTCGTTGAGATCGGCCGCCATTTTGCGTCAAATTTCACGTGTTTCCTGTAATAGATATGCTCACGCGCATTCCCGCGCTTCTATAAACGTCACTGGTTGACAAATTTGGAGTACAGGTGCCATAATATTCCTACAAAAAATGGTATCATGACAGATGACAGCCTGACATTAGCGACTTCAGCAGTCAAATGCCAGAGGTAGATGATGAAAAATTTGTGTTTCGATGGCCGTGAATTCAGTACACCTAATTGTATTTCCGCGTGCAATTAGCATTGGAGGACAAATGCATCGAAAAATAGCTGAAAACGAATGTGACGGGACCTAATATGTGTGACAATGTGGCAGCAATTGAGGATATTGTTGTGAAACGCGATAGGTACCATATTAGACTCGCAGTGCAATAGCCCATCGAACAATTTCTATGAGTTAGATTCGGCGAAGAGATTATGTTGACACGGCAGAGTAAGACGTTCAATTGAAAGGATTTACTAAACTTTTAATTTAAAACGCATTTCACAAATAATTTCAATAACAATATTTAAAGTAAATAAAAAATTTCTTCTAGCCTGAAAGAATTGTTGAAAGGATGGTTTTCAGAAAGCAGTTGATGGAATTTGGACCATCCACTCAGGCGGAGCTGTGCCAGTTGAAAGATGTGATGCTGAACCCACTGATGTGTGACCTGTGGGATGATCAAAAAGTGTTTTCAATTAGACTTACTCAATGGTAGCGAAAATCATAATTATACGTCTTTTGCTTAGACCAATTATTTTGTAATAAGTTGATTGGAGAGAAATTTTGTGTTTTATTTAATAAGTGTAATAATCCGTTCTTCTTGATATTACCACAGACAACATATACTATATGTTGTCTGTGATATTACTGTCTTTTCATTTCCTTCACCTGCAAAGATATTCAAAATTTTACATTGAATAAATGTTCTTAATTCTGATATTCAGTCCAATTGTTATAAATTTTCATCTAAAAAGGAAAGATGTTCTCATAATACTTGTAGGGATTTGTTTCTTACTAGAAACAATCAAATTCATATTCATATTTACAGTTTTTATATCGCTAATTGTACTAATAAAACGTTTAGAAAGTAGGTAGTCGTTCACAATATGTGTAACGCGCCGGTAATTTGACTGCTCTCTAATATGATATTGCCATTGAATTTATAACTATCTGCGGTGTACGCCACACATGCCTACGTGTGTTTGCGTGCTGCCAACGTTTTGACGCAAAATGGCGGCCGAACTCCTATTGTCGTCACCTTAGAGAAGGAATCATAGTCTAAAGTCGTCACTGTCTCTATAAAGTCACTGTAGGTCACAGAATAATATTCTGTGCTGTAGGTATGTGAATCTCAGGGTAAACTAAAGTCGTATGAACGCCACTCGGATTGCGTAAAGAGTAGCTTTTACGGTAACCGCGTAGTACGGGAAGCGTTAAATACTCTTGTTTATCCTCTATACGTCCACAAATAAGAACAAGTTTGCTTTTTTGGCCATATCTAGGCGATTAATTAATTGACATTTGTTAATTTATAGGTTGACAGTCTCAAATCGTGTCTAATCGGACAACTTCGGACAGACTCGTTTACCCTGAAACTCACATACCCAGGCGATGTCCAGTGTCCTTGCCCATATTTTAGTTACAATTAGCAGTCCATGTACTATATGGTCTAATTAGGGTATACTTTAAAAGTATAGGTACCTTATTTCCCACCTAGAAATTGCATGGTTGCCAACTCTCAAAAATAAGTATATGTATCGTCGTAAGTTGTATCATTGTATTTATAAAAATACAATGGTTTTATATACACGGTGAAACCTCTCAAAGTTATATAAGAGTGGGGGAAAACGCGTCATCATTGGCAGTGGCGTAATAAACAAAACTGACATAGTCTCTTTTGTTTTATGATGTCAAGTCGACATAACTGACCAGCGGAAGTAATATGATGGCGATTCCCACCACCGTTATATTCTCTCCTCTTATTTTAGGATCGAGGTTTAAACGAGACGGTTATGCTTTCTCCCAATCGTACGATCGCTCGATGAACTTCATGTCCATCGATTTAAAAGAGAACGGATGAACCGATTACGATGAAATTTTGCAGGTGGATTCTTTATCAAATGTGTAGATCCGAGATCGGAGTTCGTGAATTGGCAATGAATGTCCCTTTTGAGATCAAAAAAATTTGGTTTTGCGCATGCGCAGTTCGATTTTTTGACATCTTCGTTAGTTATGAACCGAATTGCATGAAATTTTGTATGTAGGCATCTCGAATAAAAGTAGTTCTAGTGTTCGCGTATTCAAATAATGTCCTTATCCAAGTCCCGCCAAGGCGCAGGCCTCCGTTCAAAAACTCGACGCTAACCAACTAATAAGAGAGATCGGCTTCCAGGCTTTTTTACTCGTACCTTACGCGTGTCGGAATCATCACGGATCTCGAAGTTGCTCGCATATCTGACGACCTTGCCATTTTCAAGGTCAAAATTCAAGAAGGCAATATTTACCTAGTGCTAACGATACGAAATTACCGATCCCTTACTACATAAACTTCATCTCTTCTCAGCTATTAACCATTTTAATCAAATCACAAGTTTTTAAATAATCTACTTTATGTAGAAAAAGTACATCTCTGATAGCTTTAGGTACTGGTAATTAAGTTGAACAATTTTCAAATAGGTACCATAAACATGGTAGGAATATCCATGCACTTTTCAGTGAATAAAGCAAATATTTTATATGTTAGAGCAATTTTCTTACACTCCTGAAGTCAAAATCCTTGGAAAAGCTCACGCATCTGCATACCTACCTACCATCGAATGCTTAGTTTTTCTCTAAGCTCTGGAACTGATAAAAGATGATTAAATATGTTGTTATGACTGACAGCATCTGTAATGCAGTCCAAATCACTTTGCAGCTGATGGCACGACCCAACTTACAGAGTGCATTAAGCACCATTCTAAAGGAAAGTATCCAAATAAGTGAAAACGGAAGTCCTCCACGTACACTCTCAGTGGAAAGAGGGCTATCTACAATACTCAACTGAAAAAAGCTAAGTGTGTGGTGCGTCGTATACAAACCTTTTGCCTCACAAAGCTTTCACGGGCGATGACATAGTTTAAGTGTTGCATCAGGCACACTAAGTTTCTAGTCTGAAAAATACCTAGATTGTACCTACGCCCCCCCAACAACATCCGTCTCTGCTTATTTGACTCGGTTAGATAGAGATTGGTTATTATGGATACGACTAGTAGCCGATCTCTATCTGGCTCAAGAATTATGATTCTTTTTCATAATCTTTCATACAAACTTTGAAATGCATATGCCAGAACATAGCTCGCTGATTAGCGTTGATATAACGTCATAAGCGACACTATAAGCACCTGCACTTCATGTTTCAGTTAAATTTATCTGGCAGTCACTTTACTGTTGAAATAAAGCAGATAAATTCAACCAACCCTAAATGAATCGGTTCGTTTTTAGTGAGATATCAAATATCGTTACTGGCGCGTTTTGCTCTAGAGTAGGTATATTTACCTCATCAATAAATGACACAAAGGAATATAAAACCACCACTACGTCAATTACGTTAAGTACAATGAAACTGCCTAGTCCAAAGAGAATAAAGTTCCCTCCCAAATGTTCTTTAAACTTTCCAGTTGTAAACCAATATACCGTGATAAGCAAATGTATGGTGCACATGACAATCTTGCTCAGTAAAACAAATTCAAAAGCGCATTTAATGCTTTGGGCGCAGTTTAAAAGCTGGTGGTAAAATGTAGGCACATTTTTAACCAGTGCATAAATCTCACTTTCCTGGAACAACACTGCGTGATTGTGCACTTTGGCCGACCGTTCTTTGATTTCGCCTAAAATGAATTGAAGCAGGCAGTTCATGTTGAAGTTGAAGCAATTAGTTGGCAGCCCAATATACATACAATAAAACTTGCTCTGTTCGCGTCTTTCGTAATTATAAACGGAAAAATGACTCAGCATACCGCAGATAATTTGAAATCCGTACCAAAACGAGATGTATATGATCATTCGCCGTCGTGACAACAAATAATTCACCTTTTCTTTGGTGATAAATTCCGATAACCGATTCACTTTTATTATCTCCGTGAGGATCACGCGAATACGTTTATTGTAGATCGAATTGAAAATCAGAGTGTGAAATACACAGAAATAGTTGTAACATTGAAATATGGCCATCGCTATTGAGTTTACGTTATCAATCTCCATTGGACACGCGTAGATATGTACCGCACAGCAGAAAAAGCACAAAATTTTCATTTGAATATTCCATACTTTCAAAAATCCAGTGCTCTTTTCTAGAGAAAAATGTCCAGTCAATTGCATAACAATGTGGAGAGGTTTTATAGCGTGAGATATCGATTTTTCTTTTGATGGTTTCGCCATATTGCTTGAACCGGTTGTGTGCGGATACTAAACGTTTTCATTATCTAATGGAAGATAATATCGTAATGAAGTGTTTGATGCAGATCAATATAATAATGGTGTTTACTTGATTTAACATTACATACGTCTTATTAATTTAATTATTAATTATTATTATCCGTTATGACTTTATAAAGTAAATAATATCAAGTTGTAATGAATGCATGAATTATTTCCCGAGATGCCAACCATGATCCCTCTTCCTTTATCCCTCATCTCGATCGCATATATTCCCTTATATCTCCAGAACGGATTGTCGGAAGTAGGTAGGTACTCACAAAAAGAGATTGGGACGTCTGGAAGAAATATATATATATATATATATATATATATATATATCCATTGGTGATGTCAAAACCTTAAGAGCGAGTATCTCGAAAACGGTTTGGCGGAGGAAAATACTCTCAAAGGCAAAATGAATAGACTGGACGAGACGTATCTATTGGTCGAAGCAAATACCTTGACAACAAAGTGTCGGAAGAGGGTACGCATACAAGGCAATGGCAATCTATTGGTGATGTCAAAGCTTTCAGTGCAAATATCTGCAGAATAGAGTCTCGGCGGCCTTTAAATCCTTATGTGTAAAGAGCCTCCTACCCATTAATCACCTACCAAGAAAATAAACATCGATAGCATGCTACTACCTTATAATCAAACCATTTACTAAGCTAAGTTAAAAAAATGCGCTTTATCTGCACAAGAATGCAATCTCATTTGTTCGTTTTTAATAATAAATAAATAAATAAGGAACCAAGTTTAGAAACTGTTCTCTTTCTGTTATTTTCGCGTAAGTATGTAGTTAGTTATTAGTTTATTACTTAGCGGACTATACATTAAGTAATTGAGTGTCAATTGGTTTAGTACATCGCCAATAATATTAAAAGCTCAAATTAAACATTCATAAGGTGTTGGAACTAAGTTCCACTTACTAAATGCAACTCGCGAGCAATCTACATCTTAGTTTTTATTAAATTTAAATACCATAGTCGCAATGGAAGACGCCAATTTCTATCAAACGTTGAGCCCCTTACAGAGATTTTCCAAGTTCGTCGGTTTTCTCGTCTGGACAATGTCAAAAGGATGTCCAAACTTAAACGACTGGCGTATTGTATGGTTTAACTACGTATTGAAATTTTTAATATTGATCCTCTGCTTAACCCATTACCAATGTTGTCCTCAAGAATTCGACACCGTGGAAAGAATTAATTTCGCTATTCTATCATATTGTGCCTACGTGAGCGTTTTGCAATTTTTATTTGTTTCTACTCGCCACAACCAACAATTATCATTTATGGTTGGGAACGTAGTAAAAATTGATGCCGACATCAAGAGGTTAACAGGAATGAGTGCAAACTATAAAGTACCAAGAAAGCGACTAATTGCAACAATGGCGATGTTATACGCTCTAAATATAGCTGGTCTTTTGCAGGATATTGCACTAGCATATACACACAACATGTTTGGAGACATCAAAGCCGCATGTTCGTTCATAGTGTATGGTTCAGCACTCCTTAGCACTTCAATAACATGTTTCGCCATATTCTTCCTCATGGAATTAAGAAGACGGCTAGAAATAGTCCACAAATATTTAAAAGTTAAGCGCTATATTTCAAGGAACTCAATTAAAATGGCTTTAGAAATTAACAGCGAAATTTGACAGGTAGCAAAATCGACAAATTCCATTTTCGATCACACATTACTAACAAAATTGGCTACAAATTTTAATTTTATGTTGTACTCATTCTATTGGATTAGTTCACAACCGGCAATTGAAAACGAAATATCACCTGCAATATGGTGCAATGTCTTCTATTGGATCGGCACAAATTTCATTGAAATTTGTTTAATAATACATTACTTTGTGACATTTTACGAAGAGGTAGGGAAAACTAAGATTTCTTTATAGGTATATTTTAAATTCAGTTTCCTTTTAGGCCAAAAAGACCGTTCATATAGTGGAAGATTTAAAACGCCTCATTAGTGTTCGTAATTCAGAGTGTTTGCAGGTATCTTCTACACTTTGTCTAAAAAATTCCCAAGATAATTTTTAGGTAGAGCTGCTTTCGATCCAAGTTTACACGAATGATTTCAAATTTAGTATTTATGGTTGTTTTCTGTTGGATTGGAGGTTATTGCATTCCGTGAGAGTAGATAAATTTTCTTTAGTATTTTAACACATTTTTCAACAGATGGCTTCCAGTATTGCTACATATTTAGTCATATTTCATCAATTTCACATGATGGAGACAATCAAGCTACAACCACGTACCTCACCTTCTAATGACTAAATAGGATCCTATGGCGTACACAAAAACAGTTAAGTTTCAAACATACTGGCGTGTTGTTATTTTTATCACTGTTGGCGTTGAAAACTAATAGATGGTATAGTATTTGCAAAATACACTAACTTAGTGATTTTTCGAACAATTTATACATTTTAAAAAATCCATATCTATAAATATTGCTGTGATACCAAACATAATTTCACTTTGCCTAATTAGTTAAGGTAAATTGTATGGTTAAGTTATTAGTATTTTATAATGGATACTGTCCGTCAATATATATTATTATTATTATCGCCGCTACGAATGGTTCGTCTTTGATTTATATACATTGAATGTAGGCCACTATTAGACAAAAATGTGAAATTATTGCTTTCATTTAATTTGGGAAGACGTTTTAAGCTGATAAAGTTTGCAAATTTTTCTTTGTGTACAATTTCTTTATTTTTAAATATGATTTGTGTGTTAAAAATAAATGAATTTGAATTCGAAAATAATTGAGATTTTGTTTAAGTGTTAAATGTTTTTTTAATAGTAAGACAAAAATGATTTATGAAAATTGTGCGTCTTTAAAAAGGAAAGTGGAAGTGGATCACATAACGCTTGATTGTAAAAAGCACTGTTGGATGAAAAGGGACGACTATGATTCTCCGTTGCGCTAGATTCACTCTTGTTGACATTATTCGATTGTATAACCTCCCTACCTATAAACGCACTGGATAGGAAGGTAAAAAAAATATATGCATTTCTTAGACAAAAAATTAGTGATAATATGAAAAGCACACTATTGAATAAGTTACATTAAGAAACCGATTTGTTTTTTGGCAGGCTTTTGTTTTAAAACTTCTATAAGGGCTTGATCTAATTTGGAGCCTATTTCCAAACCTAATTTTAAACTTTCCCTTAATGTTGAAGGATGTAATGAACCAGAACCAGATTGCAAAACCGTAGTGAATCGATCTTGTGAAACTGCAACGACCATCGATGCAGTGGCACACTGCTCCTCTGCCGCACTCGGGTCTACTACACACTGTTCGCCTATTTTGGATATCGTCACCATGACCGGGGCGGGCACTATATCTAACTTAACACATTCGTGAATATTATCAGAAACTTCCATTTCAACATTGTTTCCGTCTAAATTCACTGCTAAAACACGCGGAATATCGGTGTTCCACAGTGCAGCCTTTACTGCTAAGGAAACTGCATCGTATAAATTCCCTCCGCACTCTAATAACTTAAAACAATTATAGAGTCAGAATTGCAAGCTTATCAACTTACTAAAATATCGACGTACAACTTCCAGCACTTACGCCCTTTAAGAATGCAAAGCTTTGATAGATTAAAAGCTTTTGTAGATCTGTACGCTGATGTTAAGCTATTTGCAATTTCCGTGGCCAATTCTTCGCCTCCTCGACCTTCAAAATCAGGAGTCGCATTCGCCGAGCTGAAACTTGAAATTGTTCAACAGGCTACATGTGCAGGTTACGCACCAGTCTACAAAGAATTCGATCTTTCCCTCATCAGGCTGATCAACTGAAGGTACATCAGTTTCTATCTTAACTGCCACAAGCACGTCGGTGTTTGCTAGCCTTAAACGGGATGAACCAAAAGCGTGAGCAACAACGTTGGTTTCCAGTTCCATCGGCCTGTACTGCGAACGTTCCCTACCGTCTACCCGAAAATTTTCCTGCAAAATGAATGTTTTATTTTATATTAATGATAGATTGAGTACTTCAACGCCATGTAGAATAAACGTTTTTTCTGCTTCGCATAAATTCATTTTCTTTGAAAGATTATAGGTTATATTTAAAAAATATTTAGGGTTATGTTTTATTTCAAATAAAACGAGTGTGCATCCATGCCAGATTTGATTTACAATGTTGCCATTAACCAGAATTATTTTTATTCATTGCACACAAGTAAAGCCGGATTTATAGTTCCGTAGCCGTAGCCCGTAAGAACGTAAAAACGGAACCGTAAAATCTTACGTTAACCAAAATTATACGATTTATAGTTACCGTAGTGGTAAGAGATGAGCTTGCGCCACGAACTTATGTCATCTGTCAGTAAGAGTAACGTGCATTTCAAAATAATAATAACCAACAAAGTGTCAATAATTATTGTAAATAAACGAAACGAACGTCAGGCTTAGACCATATAGTACATGGACCGCTAATTGCAACTAAAATTTGGTCAAGGACATCGCCTGGGTATATAAGTTTCAGGGTAAACGAATCTATCCGAAGTTGTTCGATGAGACACGATTTGAACTGTCAACCTTTAAATTAACAAACGTCAAATAATTAATCGCATAGAAATGCCAAAAAATCAAACCTATTCTTATTTGTGGAAGTATAGAAGATAAAGAATAGCATTTAAAACATCTCGTACGACTTGATTGCTACAGAAGCTGCTGTTTTTGTGATACGAGTGGTGTTTACACGACTTTAGTTTACCTTGAGATTCACATACCCACATAGATATATAAATACCTAGATACAGCCATCCTTAACAAACGTACCTCGGTTTTTAAAAAACATATCAAAGAAATTTGTACATCTCTCCATTACTTTCTAACCAAGATGAAACATGTTCTATCTCTTTTTATTGCATTAACCACTATGTCGTACGCGAATCGGACGCTTGAAACAAACTTAGCGCGTCCCATAAGTCATGTGACAGTTGACCCATTTCACGATAGCGCGACATCCAATCTAACTAAAAATATTCGCCCTAAACATGATGGGCGGTTTTTTCACTAAATATTATGTAATTATTGCGTTATCAATTGAATACGAATAACATTAGTGCTTGCCATAATGATAGACGCGTCCATAATTGTTATTCCTGAAATAGTTTTATTACATCGAACTACGCCATTCAAATTTGGGATAATGTTTACCCTGTTTGGCATGATGTGCTGCATTGAATTCATTGCTGGCTTGCAGAATATCAAAAAAACCGTAAGTAAGTAAAGTTTATGTTCAACATTTTAATTTTAATTGCATGGTTTTAGGCGTAATGGTAAAGGAAATTGTTGCGACAGGAAGTGAATTCGTTTCCAATTATTATTTTGGCCTATATGATGTTGATGCAGTGCGTTTGTATCATGATCACAAAGAAGGATCCGTCCAATATTCTTAGGAAAACGAGTTTTTAGACTGTGTGTGCGTGCAATATCAAATTTTGGTCGCTACGCGTCTTGCCTACCTTTCGGCATATGTCCATTCGGTGGGGTTTCTTTTTGAAATTATAGTACTAATTGTAGTAAGTAAGCTACACGTGTACATTTATTTAAAATAAATACAACACCTTAACAATGATATCCAATTGGTGATAATACTCATTTAGTGAACATTCATTACGTTTGTAAAAGCTCACAATCCGAATCATCGTCAGATGAAATTTATCATCACTGTCATTATTAACACTTAGGTATTATAAAGTTCAGCAACATCAACCAAATATAACTTCTCTTTTAAATTAATCACTTTCCACATGTTCACACACTTTCTTCCAGTTGTCAGCTGTAATTTTTTCAAATTCTTCATTTGCCAGCTTTATAAGTAACATCTTCCATTTTAAATGTAACATTTCTTGCTGCTATGCGATTTAAATAAATAAAAAGGCGGTTTATTTATGTTGTAAAGTCTCAAATCTGATAATTTTCTGTGTGATTTGTGCTAACAATTTGATTGACAGTTATAATAAATAATGCAAATCTTGTCTTCCATGCTCAGGGTACCTCTATAAAGGATAGCGCTATACGTAATTAATGTGCCGAAAGTGATGGTAATAGATGGTACGTCCTTTTGAACTATGTTGGGGGTATGGCTGTATCTATGTATTTATATATCTA